AATGTCAAGGTCATGATGAAATTTTACATTGCCCTTCAAAGTGTACTATGACCTTGACCTAGAGACATTTGAAAGGTCAAGTGATCATGCGTTGAATGGTTGTAGTCCCATGTCTCTACGACTTCCGGTTCTCAAGTTTGGTATTGCATCATATATTTGATTATTCATTGCGACCTTAATGAACTTTTGAATTGTCCCATTTTTTCACTTAACAGATTTGAGATATCTGTTGTCGTTTTAGAGATATAGCAGTTTGAAATTTTGCGAGCGGGTGCATGCATTTCTGAATTAACAACAGGCTATCCACTAGAAATTTTCGGAAATTGAAGAGTTTAACATGGTTATATGTTGGGACTCAACCAACTGTGGTCATTTTGTATATCAAATTAAACTTCTAAATGAACTCTACTCAAAAATGAATATTTCAAACCCCCTTTTCATCCCAGTAAGAAGGGTGGGGTCAGTTAGTGCAAACATTAAACATTCTAAGATGGTTAGGTTGTCGTATCCAATGAAAGTCCATAAAGCGTACATTTCAAATATCAAATTTACGTCCCCCAAAAAATGGGTTGGCTGGGGTCATTAAGTGCAAAAAAAAAATTGTCTTCTAAGGTAAGGTTGTTGTGTATCAAATGAAAGGTCATAATGTGTACATTTCAAATATCAAATTCCTGTCCTCCAAAAATAAGTTGGATGGGGTTATTAAGTACAAAAATCAAACTTTCTAGAAGATGCTGTTGTTGCATATCAAATGAAAGGTCATCAAGTCTACATTACAAATATCATACTTCCGATCTCGAAAATTTAGGTGGATAGGGTTATTAAGTGCAAAAAGTGAAAAGTTTAAGAAGGTATGCTCGTCGCATATCAAATGAAAGGTCGTAAAGAGTGCATTACAAATATCAGACTTTAAAGGGAAAGACCTTTCAATTGTTTTTTTACAGACAATTGAGATACTAGTCTTTTTTCTATTTTTAGTTGATATTTAACAAAGTGTATAAAATGATAAATATTCGATTTAAATATTTCGAAAATGAATGTAGAAAATCAGTGAAAAGATCTGTACAATAATTACATTGTAGATGTGTACAAAGATTGTTAGTTTGAAAATGTAGTATGTTTCGTTAAGTGACGAACTAGAGATTCTTAGAATTGAGAAATGCGAAACCTCTTTGGAGAATGTGGGCTGTCTTTAAGGCTAAGCATATCAGATGCGATAAATACGGAAAAAAACACCAGGATAAATATTTGTAATATTTAGGCACAACGTTTTGTGGTTTTAACTGTTACATATTTCCGGTTCGGTTGAGCTATTACTTGTACCGCATGGACGGTTTAGATAATTACTTTCAAGTGTCCTTAATTCAGAAACTAAAGCAGATATGGCAAATAAAAAAAAAAAACAATAAACATGCTTGCTTTAAATATAACATCGTAATTTGAACTTATTCGGACTCCTTGAAAGGTATGATTCCTTTGACGGTTTGACAGTACTTTTATAGAATACATACTGTTGGAGGATGTACCAGTGAAAACATCAAATATGTGTAGGATGTTATAATTATTTGGATAAGAATACTCTAACAATTCGCAAACTGAACTAGTACTCATTTGCATATTGCTAAGTCTTATTTCAATTGGCGTATAATTGAGTATTGTGCTACGTTTCAGGTTTGCTGTGTGCTTACGTTGAATGCTCATTCTTTCCATTTTTGTGGTAAGAATGAGAGATTATGGTAAGACAAAACTTAGCTTTTTTCCTTCAAATTTTAGAAATATGCTAAAAGACAAGTTTACTTGGATTTCTCTTCATTTAGTCTTAATATGAATTCATATTGATTTTAATTGTTTCTAAGTTTGCGTAATATTTAAGTTATGCTTCTGTGAATACAATGGTAATACTCTGGGCTTATATGTAAAGAAAGCTTGAATTAGTACGAATAATATGTAATTTATCAGTGTGGAAAGTTTCGTAGAAAAAAGGTTGGAATTAAAAAGTTTAGAGTTTTATTTCACACACTTTTTAAAACAAATCGTATCATATTGATCATAATTTTTACTCAACATAAATATGATGGTATATGCACTGTTAATTGTATAACAATTATGACTTTATTTATTTTAATTGTCGTTAATAACAAAAGACAGAACTTTAAATCTATTAAAAAACGTCTTTTTTAGCGTAACATGTAGTTGAGGAAATTTCATTATGTGATATCTAGTGATCTGTGTCTAGTTCAATAGCTGTGTAAATTCTATTCTACATATTGATATACGTATATGTTAAAATATGAATTGATCATCTGAAGTTGAAATCATTTAAGACAATTTTTTATTTTATATTTATTTTAAGTATTATTTTAGTTATCATTATTTTACTTATTAACATTTAATGGATCGAAACTAGGATTAGAGTTGACTCGGTGACTTGTCGTTGTTAACATCCTTGTCTGGTCTACTGTGGATAGATAGTTTATACTAGTATGAAGCTAGCCGTCGATAACAGCCGGAGTTAATATTCATGAGGCCAGCCCAAGTATAGTTTTCGCATAAGTAATGATATCACATCTCCTTATTTTTATATGGACATGTACCATATGAAAAATTTAATAAATGACATGTATCGTGTACTTGGCCTGGGGAACTATGGTAAGAACCAAGAAACGACGACTAAACTGCACTTCACACTTTACTTCATTAAATTTTTAATACAAAGTCATGCTACTGCACTGGCAGACGACAACTAACTCAATAACTAGTTGCTAAAACATGTTCCACCTTTTCGGACCCAAGAGCTAAATTGTGTGAGGCAGTCCCGATAACCAGAAGACACAAAATAGGAATATAACACATGTGTGTAAAACAATTTATTTCAATAAGGAAGGAACACAATGACACAATACCACCCCCCCCCCCTTTTCCCCGAAAAAAAAGACAGCAAAAAGGTCAATGTAGGGAATCTACAGTAGGCAAGGTTAGTATTTATATAGAAATAAAAAGATGTGATATGATTGCCCATGAGTCAACTATCCACCAGAGGTTAAATGACAGACAATGTAGATGTAAGCAACAATATGTCACCATATGGCCTTCAACAATGAGCAAAACATGTACCATATAGTAAGTTATAAAAGGTCCCGACATGACAAAATGTGAAACAATTCAAACTAGAAATCATCGGAACGATTAATATAAAAAAAAAAAAAAACAATTAACGAATAACAAATATGATGGAAAGTGACCAACGACAACCACTGAATTAAACGCTTCTGACTGGGGACAGGTATGTCCATAATGTGGCGGGTTTAAACATGCAGTATGTGTTTTGCTTATTGTTGATGGCCGAAGGTGACCTATACTTGTTAACTTCTACGTCAATTTTTCCATGGTGGAGAGTTGTCTCATTGGCAATCATGCCACATCTCCTTATTCCTATTGTTAAAAAAAACATATTTATTTCCTAGACAACATATCAATCAGTACTCATTCAATAGATTTTATTCAAAGACCTCATAAACAGTATGAGCAAAACATGGCCTTGTGTAATGCCAAAATATAAGTATCGACAGAATGTAGGATCATATGTATTTAATTTATATAGGAAAACATATTCAGATATGTTTAAATACTCTTATTATAAAATCAATGTAAGTACCGATAAGAAAAATATTCAAAATTTTTGCATTACAGTGTTAAATTTGATAACCTTTTACAATAAGTTTGTTCAAAGGATCGATAACTTTACATGGATCGTATCTAAATTTACATCACCATAAAATGAGGATGTGATATCCCTTATAAGGTTCAACCAAACAATCAAGCCAAATCTATATATGAAAAAATGTAATCAAAGGTTTTAGTTATTTACCTTTGCCAAAAGAATATTTACCTGCTCATGGCAGGCGGAAGTGTTTTATTTGAAAACTTATTTTGTTATAGGCGTTAACACGAAACACATTATCTTACAATGCAAGTATCCATCTAGCTGGAAGATTGCAAATGTCAAAGCTAATTAAAAAAAGGTGATTCGTCATTACCTTTAAACTATAGGCAAATCTCTTTAATAAGCTGTGTAGGTAAAATCATGGAACGAATTGTGTTTGAATATTTATATTATCATGTACATATGAATCATGGAACGAATTGTGTTTGAATATTTATATTATCATGTACATATGAATAAGCTAATATCAGTCTTGTAAATTTAACAAATTTTCGAGTATCAAGTCCTGTCCATGATCTCAAAAATATTAGGCAGTGATATCAAAGGGAAAGTGTTCTAATTGTCCATAAACAGGCATAACGAACGATTTTGGGATATACACTCACGTAAAATGGGAGTAATGATAAATCAATTTTGTATACAGTTTTCTCGGTGAGTCTGAAATATGTAAATCGAGGAAGGGACAATTATTGCTGTTTTTATTAAAGTGATTTAAAGTTAGATCCCATGGGTAAATATCAGTAGAATATTTACTGAATATTCTATTATATATTGCAAAAAATATCATCAAAGTAACAGTAGGTGATGTTGAATTTTTCAATTAGTGTATCAATCAATGTCAAAGTACACGCACGTTTACTTTTATTGACCTATCCGTAGTATCCCTTTCTCAATAGTATAAAACAGGCACAGAATAAAGTTTTGAGAGAAACGCTTATTAATAGAACGCCTCTACCTTACAATTATCTTGTCAAGAGTTCACTTAATTCGCAATTAAAAAGAGGATTTAGGTGTATACGTAACGAGACAACAACCCAACAACACTAAAACAACATCTTGGGATCAACATACAGTCTTTGAAAATAGACACGTGGCAAGAGAAAACACCATGCTCTTAATCCTCCGTGTTTAAAAAGGTGTTAATAAAATTTTATATGAAAAGTTTTAAAAAATCAATTATAACTTACAAAAAGTAGACGACAACTGAAGATAACCAAATGACACTGGTGTTTCAATTAAAAAAACAATGATTTTACAGTTTAATGCTTTTTTTTCTAGTTTGCCATTAGTTTGTAAAACAAGTCAGCAGCTATGATTATAAACATCCTGTTTTTAATCGTATTCAGTAGAGAGATTTTAACAGGTATGTAAATATTAATTAAAAAAGTGTTTAATGGGATATACACATACAAGGGGAGAAATAGCTATTTACATGTTACCTGTTATTTAGTTGCTCGGTAGCAACAGAAGTAATATAATAATGAATTGAAGATTGACTAATTGCTACAGGAAACACCATCAAAGATATCAGGCTTATAGATAAATATACCAAACAAGCATTTCGTCTTCATAATTAAAATAAGTGATCCTCGAAGTAAAACAGTTTGAACGCAAAATTAGCTTCGCAGTTGCAAAGCGCTAAAAAAAGTAGCCAAAAATGGTGTGCCTTAAACTCGTTATGGTTTATAATTTGTTGATATTACCGTGCATTTTGGTACAGTTCTAGATAACGTCATTAACATCTAGCAAAGATTTCTGCTCAAAACTGGTGTACATGTTTTTTGTAAGTAAAGTCTTGAATATGGCTTGATTGAGTCTTTGAGACGAAGAACAGCAATAGCATGGTGTATCCTGGCCTATGGTTTTGTTAGATGTGTGTAGAGACTTTGTATCATGATAAATACTTAATATCTTTTCTTTTTACCCATAATCTGAACGTCGAAATACATGTAGTATTTACTTGCTATAAGGACAACACACTTGTTATTGTTCGAATAGTCAGTAAATAGTGGTTTTAATATGCAGAGAGTACGGGAAAATATTTGCTTCCAGTAAATGGTCCATACCCAGTAAATAGTATTTGAACCTATCAACCCGTTGAACTGTTAGATTGTCTTTCTTACCGGAGAATGTTGCCTCCAGTAATTAGTTCATACCCAGTAATAGATTTTGAAACTATTATCCGATAAATAGTCTCTTTCAGACAATTTCGTAAAAAAAGTAAATGTATTCGTCTATGATTTAAAAAGAAAATATATAGTAAGGTATAATAATCATTTATATTTAATATCCACGCGAGAAAGACCGATATGAAATGTATAAACTGAAAACAACACTTTATAAATTTCATGCGCTTTTCTGGATTAAAATTCATCAGCCACGCCCAAAGCACATTATATAAGAACTTAGGTTAGAAATAATGAGGCTAGCTAATGATTGTTTAAACATAAAGGTCGCGAAGCATTTATTACAAAGATATGTGCTTATGAATGATTTTGTTTATATTAATTCGTAAAAAATGTGAAGACTAGACACACAAAAGTAGGTGCAATTTGGAAAAATGTCTTCCATTTTTCATTTTAAACTTTATAAATATCGTTCATGTTTATAAATACATGTATACATATTTTTTGCAGCCTTAAAAAAGTTATCCTAAAATCTTTTTACGAGTTTTTGTACGATACATTAATTTTGGTATCCATAAAATTCGATTGATTGGTTGATTGATTGTTGGTTGGTTAACGTCCAGTGGCAAATATTTAATGCATGGTTAGGACGAGAGCAAATTTAAACTAACAATAAATACAATAGGTAGGTCCTGTAATAGAGGCCACCCGGGATAAAGGTCTCGGATTTTTAGACTGCCACTAGAAAATGAGGGTAAATTGGATTGGGGCAGACTTTTGCCTTGCAACAGGCCACTTACGGACCCGTCAGAATGTTGTTGCAAGGGTTCTTAACGTACAGAGAGCGTGGCGCTCTCTCTCCCTCTACACGAATCATCGGATCTAACGTCCCCATACTGGTCGGAAGTGGTTGAGTACTTGTACATCCCGCACAGCCAAACGGACGCCCCACTTTGGCAAGGGTTTTACTGCCGGTCGGCAGAAAGTCCTGTAGTGACCATATGTCTATTCCCCAGTCACCCTTGGGGTACATTAAATTCGAATTTTAAGTATTGTTAAACTAAGTTAATTATTTTTTTATTCAGATTGGTTTTCTCTATGTTAAAAATTAAATCTTACTATCTAACAAACATTTTGACCTTTTCAAATGATTTTCGAACTGATAGCTTTTCTTATGTTTATTTTTGGAGATATATACATTTTCATATATAGAAATATAAATATGATAACAGAGTTCGTGAAAATTGAGAGAAATATTTGAAATATATATCCTTGACTTTTTGATTGATTTAAATTTAATAGCTCAGGGAGAATTACGTTACTCGAATAATCTTGTAAAAACCTGATATCGAGCATTTGTCTTGAATTTAATGTAGATATACTATTATTACATTTACAATATTCCTGATTTATATATCAGGATTACATCTTTACCTGTAAAATGATGAATCCAATTATGTTATATGTCCAATTACTGAGTTAATAGTTACTGTAATAAACATCCATTTCTTCGACTTCTGAATTATACTGATCATTACATGATTTTAACAGAGACCCGAAGTAGTACTATTTTGTACGACAACTTAAATAAAGATATTTTTGTTTTTCGTAATTATTTGGTTGCTGCGTAAGTATATTTGTGAATGATTCCTGTAGAACCTAGTTGGCAAAACTATTTAAACGCATTCTGATTTAACCGTTCTGTTGTGGTATTTGAAACCTTCAGAAGATTAACCCCCTTTGTTACAACCGTTCTTATATAAAATAAATGTACTGAAATATCCATGATAGATAAACATAAAATATATTTAAAGATTATTTTAAGATCTGAAAGGTGTACAAAACAAATACATTGAAATGCATCTGCAATCGCCTTATAAAACCTTATCCACAACCTCGTAAATCTTGAGTTATTTCAAATAAATATCTGATATTCATGCATAATACTATAAGAGTATCTACAAGGAGATACTTTTGGTGGTCTCTTGTAAAAGTCGGTGAGATTAATATGCTACAACCAACCAACAAAGAGGGTTGCCTACTATGAATAAAAAAATATAGAATATGTTTTTATATTTTATATTTTGCTGTTTGTCTTTTTGTCGTCTCTCCCTGGTCATGGTGTTTAATTCTTTTTCAACGACAACGCATGTAACTTCGTATTTCTTGTTTGAAAATTCTTCTCTCCGTCATAAATATGCGTCAAATATTTGCCACTGTACGTTCAGAAAACAACAATCAATTAATCATATCTCCTCTTAAAATGCAGAACTGTGTTGACTTTAAACGTGATTAAATAGTTGATAAAAGATTCGTTTAATCCTTTGATTAGATATAAACACGTCTTGCTTCTCTCCTATAATTTAAAATTTCCGATACAAAGGAAACAGTTTTATTGAATATCATATTTAATTAAATGGTCTTTTGAAAAATCTCATTGCAAATTTATTTGCTGTAACTCGTTTAAAGCCTTTTTCTGTACCGAAAAAGGAAAGTATGCTAGATACATTTACTGGAAATGTGAAGATATGATTGAAGCTTTAAATTTTCTCCTAGACAACATATATGTACGTTTCGACGATAAAATGTATCGACAGGTAGTAGGTATTCCTATAGACACTAATTGCGCCCCTTTAATAGCAGATTTATTCCTGTATTGCTATGAATCTCAGTTTATGGCCAAACTCAGTAAAGACACGTCATTGTTACATTTTGTTGACACATTCAACAATACCTACCGTTATCTTGATGATATTTTTTCGTTAAATAATCCAGAGTTCTCTAAATATACTACCGAAATTTACCCAAAGGAACTTACTTTAAATAAATCTAACATAAACATCAGTAGTTTTCCTTTTCTAGATTTAGACATTTCAATTTCTAAAGGGAAACTCCAGACTAAAATTTACGACAAAAGAGACGATTTTTCTTTCCCTATTGTTTATTTTCCTTTTTTAGACGGCGATGTTCCTTTGGCTCCATCATACGGTGTTTATATATCCCAACTCGTTCGTTATGCCCGTGTGTGTAATTATGTCATAGATTTCAACGAACGTAATCAATGTATCACTGGTAAATTATAAAGTCAGGGATTTCATTACCATAAATTACTTAAAACATTTACTAAATTCTTTCATAGATACAAAGACTTGATTAGTAAATTTGGCTGTAACTGTAGAAAACTTATCAAAAACGGTATTTTACATCCTAAATTTTACGGTAATATTGCGCTAAAAGCCCGGAAATTACTATGTGATCCGTGTAAACTAATCGAACCTTTAAACAAATTTATTAGTAAAGGTTATCTTATTAATGTTGTAATAAGATCTATGAATATTGTTTCTATGGCACAAATATCTATTTTGTCATCAACAAATTAAAACATAACTAAATTTGTATTCTTTTCGAATGGTGTTTTTGGATGTATAAATACACATCCACGTTTATTTTCTATATAAAGATTGCTTTATCTATATATAACATGATACATATTTACTATAAGGTTAAATCCTAACTATCGTACTGCCTGGCGATAGTTTAATTTTGGAATTGCACAAGTCATGTCTTCTTTTACTGTCCATGGCGTTAAAACACTAAATCCCTGGGATGTGTTTTAATTGATTTTAGTCTCTGATGCATGATGTTTTATTATTAATTGTTTTTGACTTTTAATTAGCTTTCATAACTGCGAGTACTCTCAAATCGTACTTTCGTGTTAATTTGACCTGTTGACACAATTTGTAATGCATTTTTGTTATTCAATATTTACTTATTTTGTGTTATATCTCGTTTAACTATTTTTAATATGTACCACCTTTGATAAGTATTTAGTATGACGATAAATTTTCACTTCTGTACTCGTTCTATGAACAACAAAATGATTTATTTGGAAAAAATATTTCCGTACTCCTAACAACAAAATTATTATATTAAAATTTACCTGTGTACGTTATTTTATTTAACGCCAATTTGTCCCAGGTTAGAGTTGTCTTTTTGACATTGTTTTACATCCCGTTTTTTTAATTAATATTGTATTTATATTGTGTCATAGATCAAATTTATTCGTTCAGTGTATCTTTACTTGTTTTTGTTAATATGTCTTTTTGATCGAGTTAAGCCATTTCAATTGATTTTTTATAGTGTGTCTTTCTATGTTATAATGTAACACTACTGTTTCAGGTTAGAGTGAAGGTTGACGCCTGTTAAAACGTTTAAACCCGCTGAATTTGATTGCACCTGTCATAAGTGAAGAGCCTGTTATTCAGTGGTTGTCGTTTGTTGATGTGGTTTATAAGTGTATCTCGTTTCTCGTTTTTTATATAGATTATACCGTTGGTTTTCCTGTTTGAATTGTTTTACACTAGTCATTTTGGGGTTCTTTATAGCTTGCTGTTCGGTGTGAGCCAAGGCTCCGTGTTCGTACTTTGACCTTTAATTTACTTTTTACACATTGTGACTTGGATGGAGAGTTGTCTCATTGGCACTTATACCACATCTTCTTATTTCTATTTAGCGTGTGTAAGTCTTATACATCCTTGGCTTTACAGTTTTTGTTTTAAGCGTTCCTGATGAAGGTAAATCTCGACTTTTCTTTGTTCCAAAGATCTTTCGGGTGTTCATATCAGATGTGGGCCAATTGACCTAGATAGCTTGTGTTATTAAAAATACTGTACTAAGTACACAAAAATGATGTATCATAGAAAGTATGAAAGGAAATTATTTCTGGAAAGTCATATGAAAAGACGGATATTGGAAATGATAAATGTTTTATGGTTTGAAAGCCAAGTGAAGATATCAAGGACAATACCAAACACTTAAATTTTTTGCTAGATCCGGTGATTGTAGCTTATTTTGATTCCCGATAAGCGATTTCTTATGTTTTTTTTTCTAGATATGTGTGAGAAGGTAATAATTGTTAGCTTAGCAAACAACAATAAATCAATATTTGACAGATTCGTTTGCTTGTTTCAATTACTATCATATAGTAGATTTCTATTGTTTTTGTCTAAGTTTAAATTATCATTGTCTTATTTTTTACTTTCAAAATGTTAACGAAAATCAGAAAATGAAATATTAAAAATTCCACTTTCTTGTATAATCTTTGAAATAATGGAATGACCATCAAATATTATGGATTTAAATTTGTCTTTAACTAAATACTCAAAATGTTCTCCTCAAATTATAGGAGTTGCTCTTGTGATTATGTTTACATTTTATTTATGCTGCCAGGTTTATCGTGCAATGCAAACGAGTTTGAATGTGACAATGGAAACTGTACTGCTAGCACATCAAGATGTAACAACAACTTTGATTGTGCGGACAATTCAGACGAGTTAAATTGTAAGTAATAGTAAATATATAATAACAAGCTGGTACTGCTTACTTATTCAGAACAACCAAAATAATCCATGTATTTTATTGGCTCTTTTTATCCTGAAATAAAAATTTCAGTATCAATTACAAAATACTATTAAAGATATCTATGTTTTTAGATACGATCCGGGTAAGCTTATCAATTCTTTAGATAAACTTGTTCTAAAAGGTTATCAATTCAACTATGTAATTAGATCTTTGAGTATTGTTTTTATTGGAATAAAAATTGATTTTGATATCAGTAAATTCAAACCATAGTAAATACTAATGTTTTACACATATGCACTTTCACGGTACTACAATCTGTCGATACCTATATTTTGGCATTGCACAAGGTCATGTTTTTCTCTGACTGTAAATGGCGTCTAGATCCATTGGATGTTGGATGTGTACTGATTGATATTTTAGTCTTAGATACATGATTTTTTTATATGTTGTTATTAGCTTTGAACTACATGCAGCTGTCAATAACTGCGTGTACTCTCAGAGATCTGTACTCTGTGTCTTATTTTGTTGTTAAGGATGTATAAATAATCCTGCCACGTCGGGTCTGAGTTTTTGTTAGATTTGTTCTGCTTTGTATCGATCTGATGACTTAAGCCCTTTTCAACAGAGTTTGTTCTTATGTTGTGCTGTAACACCAATGTTCCAGATTAGAGGGAGGGTTGAGCGCTCTAAACATGTTTATTCGGCACATTCCTTATGTGGTTGTCCCAAGTCAGGAGCATGTAGTTTAGTGGTTGTCGTTGGTTCATGTCTGTCATATTTGTTTTGTTATAAACTAAACCGTTAGTTTTGTCAATTGAATTGTTTCATATTTTTCATCTCGGGGCCTTTTATAGCCGACTAAACGGTATGGGATTTTCTCATTGTTGAAGGCCGTACGGTTGCCTATATTTGCTTACATCCACTTCATTTGAACTTTGGTGGATATTTGTCTCATTGGCAATCATACCACATCTCCTTATTTTTATATTTTAGAGTATATTTTTGTCATATATTATGTATTGATTTGATATTTCAGAGCATTTTTTTGTCATATATTATGTATTGATTTGTTACAAATAAATTTTAAATTTTATACTGTCGTTTCAAGTTTTGACAAGTTTATGTATTGAAACATAACATATCTGGTGTGATTTTTCTAACAATGACACGAAAACAATAACGTTGAGCACGATATTTGTGTCTGTTCGAAAATATGAGGTAGATAACGTGTTGTTCCAATTCACGCTTTTTTCTGTACAATACATATACATGTTCTGCAAATCATTCGAAAGAATATAAAACAAATAAATAAATAAAATATGTGATTTTGTTCTTTGTATGAAATTTTAAGAAAAATGTTGCTCATTCCGATGGCTTTAACATCCTTTTAAGTGTGTCCCGCTGTTACAATATTAGTCTGTGTGCGTCTTTGAAATCACAGTGCAGATTCAGTGTGTTAAATGTCATAAGATTTTGAAACAGTATTGTACATCTTTGACGAAAAATGGTGTCATAGACATTTTTAAGTGTGAGTGAAGAAGTTTGTCAAAGGCGTTCATATTGGGAAGTGAAAAAAAAAATGTCCAATCCAGCTGTTCAGCTCCTGTAAAAACCTTCTGTTTTCACTATTAGAAAATATCAGAGATGTGAGAAGCTTTCAGTACTATCCAAAAATTATATGTTCTAAAGACGCTTTCTGCAGTCTTTCCTATCTAACTGTGGTCTTTCCTCCAAATAATCGTTAGTTTTCCCGTGTCCAATAGAATGTACCGACGGAAAAAATGGCACATATAATAATCAAGAGGCTGCTTATTAAACGAAATTTCACTTGATCTCCAACTTTTAACACCTTTACACTGATATGAAGGGAAATAAATCCTCTGAAATATAGGTAGAAAATACGAAACGATCTGATTTATCAAATTACATTTCCCCATTACATATATGTGACGTCCTTTTCATGATAATGCTGACCTGTACAGGACTTGTCGTGCTTTTTTTGGCATTACATTCATTTCATGTCTAATGCATAAACATAATTGTATGAATGAAAGAAGATTTGATTGTATAAATGATGTAACACGACGACATATTTAACTCATATTCTTAGTCAAGACTCAGCGGCCATACACTTTAAGAAAAAGAATAATCAGTGACAATGAGACTGCGATCAAGAGTAAATAGACTCATCTTACTTATTTCACCCCTGAGCTAGATTATAAACGATTTAAATCAATCTATGTACAGCATTATCGCTAATTCCAAGCATTGCTAGTAAAAGAAGTCATATTTCTGTCGGAACTATATATTATATGAAAATTGTTTAAGCCGATTTGTAAAGCCATTAGTTTGTTTCAAAACATGTATTCTTAGCTACATGTTATAGTACAACATTTTTTGTTTTGTGCATAAAGAAGGCCGTTGGTTATCTTGTTCGCATTTATTTTACATTTTGCCATGTCACGGCCTACTTCTATTGCTTGCCATATTCGGTATGGGTTTTGTTCATTGTTGATCAGCCTCGGTTTTTGCTGGGTTTTGTGTTGCTCAGTCTTTAGTTTTCCATGTTTCATGTTTTGTGTTTTGTATACTGTTATTTGTCTTTTGGTCTTTTTTCATCAACTTATTTTCGACTTTTAACTTTGAATGTCCTTTAGTATCTTTGTCCTCGTTTTCCCATACCTAAAGTGTTTACTAGTGTTACGAATTTTGAACACGCTGAATTCTCAAATCTGACAATTATACATGTGCTTTAAAGGGCGTCCAATTGAATAAGTTATTTTATCAAAAATATCAAAAGCAAAAATTATCAAGAGGCTACTAAGTGCCTGAATCGTTCACCTTGTAAAGATATGTGCTTTTGATATTGAATTAAACAAGAATTTCGGGAAATCATTAATAGAATTTCAATTTTAATTAAAGGATCCCCCTAAACATGTTAAAGATACAATAGTAGGATATAAAATAAGAGAGTATAAGTTGGTTTCAACATAATTCTTACATATAAAGGTTTGCAATCTGCAAAGCTTACTATGAGTCATATAAATGTATTCATTTTTAAATCGATTTGATGAATATGAAAAATCACAAAATCTAGACAAAAAATATCTTCATTAATCCGAGTGTTTCAAAGTAAAATATTAAAAAAATCAAAATTACACAATGTTTTTGGTAAATCAGACGGATTTCCATATATATATATATATATACATATATACATATAAGTAATTTATGTACTTTCCTGTTATATCTTAAATCCAATCATTAAGATATGAAACTGGTAAATGTCACAATACATCCAACAAAAAACATATTACTCTCACCATTAAAAAAGGTTAAAAAAATCCGACATACAAACACGACAACTACAGATCAACCAACGACAACCACTGAATTACAGGTTCCTGACTTGGAACTTTTGTATAGTATTTGCATGAAATATTATATATCAACTCTACATATCAACCTAGCAAAATAAAACATGTCATAAAGGTGAAATGAAAAAAACTACAAAACTTCAATAAAAGAAAATGAGTGTGAAATGTTATTCATTGATCTTTGACATAATGATATTTTATTTCTCAATTGAAGGTATAGTCATTGCTCCTTGCCCAGAAGGAGGACATAGGTGTGATTCCGGAGTCTGTGCAGCCAATGTAGCAGCTTGTCCTAATGATTCGTCATCATTACAAGTATCAACCGATTTAGACCCGTCAACGTCAATGTTTACAGAATCGACAACGTCAGCAATGTATACCAAATCTATAATGCCATCATTGATTAGCGAATTTACGGCAGCAGTATTATTTTCCACATCCACAGCAGCAGCATCATTCATCGATTCAACTTTGTCACAATCTGTCTTCGAAACAGTTGTATTATTATCTACAGATGAAACAATGTTAGCTTCATTATCAAATACACAGACAATTGTTTCACATTCTACAGCACAAACTGTTTCATATTTACTCGCTGAATCAACAATGTTATATTCAATCTCAATCGAACCAACATCGTCATTTCTCTCTACCGAATCAGCAGTTCCTTTGTCAATCGAATCGCCAGTTTCATCAATGTATACCGACTTAACAGTTTTTCTTAGCGATTCTACAGCCTCATCAGGTATAACCGATTCACAACTTCCCTTTGAAACAACTGTTCAATCTTCATTCTCAGTGGTACAAACATTAATAGTATCGTCACTTTCTATCAAATCAACAATATCATCTACATTGTCAATCGAACCAACAACATCGATAGTTTCCACTGAACAAATAGTTCCAGTATCATCTACTGAATCAACTATCCAATCTTCAGTGTCAACCGAACAAACATTATCACTACTTTCTATAGAATCAACAGTTCAATCATCATCGAATGAACAAACAGTTCAGTTTTTGTCGATTGAATCAACAGGATCATCTCCAGTGTCAATAGTGACATCTTCAATGTCGATTGAACAAATACTGTCATCACTGTCTTTAGAATCAACAGTTCAATTATCATCGACTGAATCAACAGTTCAATTATCATCAACTGATTCTACAGTTCAATTATTATCAATTAAATCGACAGTTCAATTATTATCGACTGAACCGATAGTTCAATTGTTATCGACTGAATCAACAGTGCTATCTGCAGGGTCAATTAAACAAACAATGTCTTTACTTTCCGCAGAGACAACCGCTCCTTTTTCGCCGAATGCATCAACAGTGGTATCTTCAGTGTCAATTGAACAAACAATGTCATCAATTTTGAAAGAATCAACTGTTCCCCAATCGCCGACTGAATCAACAATCCAATTATTATCGACTGAATCAACAGTGTTATCTTCAATGTCATCACTTTCTACAGAATCATCAGTTCCCTATTCAACAGTTCATTTAATATTGACTGAATCAGTAGTGCCATCTTCAATGGCAATTGAACAAATAATATCATCACTTCCTATAACTTCAACAGTTCACTTTTCGCTCACTGAATCAACTGGATTATCCTCACAATTATTAACAACAACACCACCAATTGATGGTACACAACCAGACGATACGAATGATCCAGGTATAAAGTCTATTTTTGTAAAGTTAATATATGGTATGATTGTCAATGAAAAAACTATTTTTATCTTTACAATTGAACACTACCTAAAACTGCACCTTCATCAAGTAAAATGTCTTTTAGTCAATTCTGGTAATTCTGTAAGGTATTTGTAGTTGTATAGCTTTCATTGTGCTAATGCATTTTGGCTTTTCCACCTTTGAAATATATGCGTTCCTCATGAAAGTGTGCCCGGAAATAAACATTGATCGCAGCAAATTTGGTTTGTGGAATAATGATTCACATAATATAATCATTGAGTTTATATCATTGATGTTGATTGTTGCAATTGGTCCAAGAGAGAGTCGTCCTACCAACATAAAATCTCATAAATTTTATCATTTTTATAATAATTGAAATTCTTATTAGTTAATTGCATTCCTGCATCTAAATTTGCTGACTTGATTGAAAATCTAGACCTATTGTGTTCCACTTTTTTACAATTTAAGATGATGGAAGACTCTCATACCATATTAATCATCACTTGCTGGAAATTAGTGACAATGTTGGTTATGATTCAATGAGAAAGCGATCCAGCACAAATTAACAAAAAAACACAATGCAGGTATTTCGTTTTCAAACTTGTGTAATCTATAGGGTAAACGATGTTCCAAAAACACTTCTCGTTTGGGCTGATATCAATATCGCTTAATCATGTTTATTTTGCAATGGTATTCTAGTTTGCACTTTTCAAAACGAAGTGAAGAAACACAAAAGAGGGCGACATTGGCAGATATGTATATTGTATTTGCTGTTATCAACATTTTAGTTGCGAAGACAGAAAAAAAATAATATTTGTAAATTAGTGAACGATGTTTACATTTTTGATAAACTCTTTAAATGACTATATGATCACATTTTATCTGATTATGTCAGTCAATATCGTTGAGAAAGATTTCAAGAGCCTTAGCAAAGCGACAAATTTCTCAACCTTTTCCCTCTAAGTGAATCAAATTTGATTGAAGTGTTGTGATCATTTGCAATTTAAGAACGCACGTGTGTGCGATAATATAAAATTTGTTATTTTACAGATCTGACTTTTCTTTATGTTGTCATTCCTATATTGTGTGCCATATTTATTTTATTGGTCGCTACAGTGTTATTAAAAAGTGTACAAATGAGGTAAGCATCTCATAAATGTAAGTTCAAGAATACATTTTATTACAGTTTAAGTCTCTATACACATATTGTTCATGTAAAACACTTATTCACTTATCATCCGAAATATGAATTTGAAAAAGGCAAAAACATTTAAAATTTTATGTTTGCCATTTTCCTCTACTGGGTGGTCACAAGGTACTTTTGAATTCCTGAAGATTTTGTTTCGGATATTAACTTTTTTTATTATTCTCATATGGTTTCTGATAAATATTGAATTTATAAGAAGGTACGTGTATATTAGATAGCTTAGCTATCATACGTATGTGTTTAATGGTGAAACAAAAGCCTAAATATTGAAAACATGTTTTTGCACTTTTTTGGTATTCTTTATTGTACTTTATTTTATGTAGGTTTCCGTTTTCTGTCGAGATGGCCGTTATGAAAGTTACTACTGACAAGGAAGCTATGTTATTAAGGGTTTCAAACTTTAAAGTTTTAGTCATTCCGTCAATAGTTTAATGTGGATGATAATGATAGATGGCTGTTATCGTCAAGCAGCAAATTAAAAACGTCTTCATGACGATAACATTTTAATCTAATATGATTTTTTGCTTTGCACTTAAAAACACACTCAGCCGGATTTTAAACGTGCTAGTTTACAAAGTAACAATCCGCAGGAAGGCATGTCACCCTATTCGGACACAATATTCTGAGCCGACCAGTCTTACTTCTTTATACCGCGGGCTTAGCGGAGAAGCAGCAAATACCAATTTTAATGTCTCTGGTTTGACCTGCTTGATTCGAACATACGACCTCCTGCCCTAACGGCGACCACGCTGCCACGTGACCACCGAGGCAGTAAACATTTTATAGATGCGTTGGTTATGGGTGTGTCACAGATGGCTATGGATATTTTCCACTTGTAACAAAAATCCCGTCATCTTTTTTCTCGATTGTGACGTTACTGAATGCGACTTATTACCGTATTGTTACTTGCAATGAGTAACCCGACGGACCACTAATTGGACTTATTATGTTTATTGACCTCTTGGTTACTTCTCTCTATTTGACTGAAATATCAAAATTTTAATGAGAAGTATACAGTTAAAAAATCATATTTGAAACTAGTTGTTTTTTTTATGTTGAAAAGTCATTTAAACATTCAGCTCTCTAGATCTGTATTAAAAAGATATAGTTCTACGTTTGAATAATAAAAAAATCATATCCATACAGCAGACATTAAAATTATCGTGTGAGAAGATAACATTTAGAGCTTTGAGAGGAAACAAAACGGAACAACAGAAACACTGAACTGCTACAAAAACAAACGCAAACATACATAGAAACGAACTATGCGATAACAACTGCCATATTCCTGACTTGGTACAGGACATTTTCAGAAACACATGGTGGGTTGAACCTGGTTTTGTGGCTAGCCAAACCTTCCGCTTATATGGCAATGTTAAAAAAACTGCTAAAATGGTAACATTACGTGACAGGAATACAGTACAAATAAATGCAAGAACAGAGAAATACATAAATAAATAATATAATAGTCAATTTCAACATGTAAACCACAGAATAACAACGAACACCTAAAGTTAATTTACGACAGAACACAAATACAGCAGAATAGAATAATGAACTGTGCGTCACACGATGCGAACAGGATTTTATGTAATGTTAACAGTCCCTTCTTTACACAAGTGTCATCTCCATGATTGTATAAGCTTATACATTGTAGCTGACATAAAAAAATGAAAACAAAAACACTTTATAAATGTCATGCGTCCTTCGTTAGGAGCGAGCAAAGCCGAATATTTGAAAGCCTAGGATATATAACAACCGAAACCGTTGAAGAGCTGAATAACCAAAACGGGACATAAAAATAATAACCATACCTCTTGTGTATGTCGTATTTATTGATATAAAACATTGGCAAAGATTGAAAGTACTTGTACTTATGTTGTTCAGGACCAATCACTCAAGATTTGATGGAAACTCATTGTCACAAAAGCGCCATTCTATAAACACAGTAACCACTATTGTTACAGAAGACAACAAAACAGTTTTTCATATGGTTACAGCTCACAAGGCAAATAGTAAGTGTGAGAATAGTTAGAATTACCATAAGACGCAATACAATTATAATAGTTAGAATTGTAACAATGATCGAGGATTCGGTTAAACTTCGGATAATCTATTCAAATAATGGAAAAGGCAAATGATATGATTTTGCTGCAAATTGACTAGATATGTTGATGTGAATTGTTTATTTGATTGCAATTAAGGTCTTGAAGTATTATTATTCTGATAAACACGCTGCTTCATATACGATACGTAATCTACTATCTTCTCTATCTTTAAATTTTATATTGAGATATGCAATTGTTTTGAAAGAAATTGTCAGTAAAAAACTGATTAAAAAAAACGTTTCTGATCATAATTATTTTTACAAAAAGTATTTATAAATGAATACGAATATATACTCACGCGAACTGGACTCACAAACGTAATCGTGTTTAACATGTAAGCTTGCAAGGCGACATTTTGCGTAAAGATATGTAACCCTACCTAGACATATAATTATGATTTAATGCCAACTTACATTCGTTCTTACTCCAATTCCGCGTCAACAACACAGACACAGCAAGCACAAACTTTAACGTCTTTAGTTTGATTTGTCACTGGATCGAAGCAAACACCAGTGCAACACTAGACAAAACAAGACTACTAATGCGCTGTAAATAACAATACACATTTTGAATACTCCAAGTGTAAACCATTTTAGATTGTTTAATTCATGTAATGATAACAATTTTATGTATAGATATCTTTTTGAATAACAATTTTCATATAATGGTTTAAAATAATGGTAATTTGTATTTTCAAGTAAATTTTACCGGTGATCCATGCCAAAGTTATACACCAACTGACGAATATTGGTCTTAAAAGGTGACCAGTACCAAATTCGACGATCGACAATGATAGTAGCAAGCCGCATCTTTTAATTACTGATGAATTCGTTTTCAAAGTATATCGATAATAATGCATAACTAAAGACATAACAAAACCAGTGATTTACAAATGAGAACAGTGTATTTTGATTTCTCAACGAGGATCCATCAGCTATTAAAACCGCGAATAGAAGAAAACACACTGCCTGTAGGAGTGTAAAGTATAATGAAAAAATACCATGATGCATAACGCATGTTATATTAGAGTGTATAATCTGAGGGACAATACATGAAAATCTCAACGTGCAATACTATGTATAGCATAATTGTGTTTCAAAACATATATGTTGTTATATGTTGTCATCATTAAAATGAAAACAAAGCATTTAATAAAGTGACCTTACATTTTCCTTAAAAATGCTCATTGATGACTGATATTTCTCGGCTTCAAAATTACTAATACTGTTTTTCTATCGTCTGCATTCATCTTAGACCAATGTTTTGTTTCTGGTTTTGTCCCTCTTCTTTTGCATTTCATGCGATTCCCTCGGGGTTTGATTTTTACCTCGATTTATGTATTCTGATTGGATTTCTGAACTTCGCATATGCATCGGTAAACTATTGTTTCCGTCAATTTTAATGTATGTATGCACGTTTTATCACAAAAAAGAAGAACGTAAAAGATGAGGTTAATAACCGCAAATTGACATTTATATCATCTTACTGTGACGGTCTATCTGTCTCCTCGTATAGCATTATCCAATCAGCAAGATTTAATTACGGGTATTATTTAAAACGGGGTAAAGTAACAGTTTATATAAATTGCAAATAATGAGGTTGTAATTTAAACACGTGATTTGATCTGAAATGGCTTTTGTCTAGCATGTTCATGTTAACTAAATGAATGTGAACAACGCAAATATAAATAGTTTAAATCTGATATAAGTAAAAAGGAGTATATTTACTTTATATTTAATTTCAAATTTACAATATATTTGCGGGATATATAAATGGGAGGCTACATTCGGTCAGTATAGAAAATTTAAGTGAATGAAGTGTCAAGCTGTCTGCACGTTAATGAATCCTTGTAACAAGCCTTTCAGGGGTCTTTAGACCTAGATATTCATCAATTGTTTACTAATAGACGGAAAACAAACAACAATTAATCGACATGTGTACGACTGATCAACAGCTGTCTTAACCATTTTTGAAAGATAAAGTTCTTTATTTGCATAGCATCAATGTTTTCTCATGATAGTGCTTAACAAAAGCTCATCAAAGATATAGGCTTATTATTTGATATGCCAGTAGCCAATCACCCGTTTAGTCTACATAAGCTGAAATCAATACAACTGGAAAGTCAAATCAAACACTATTTGAAAGCGCATTAAAACCGAGAATTTCGAAAATTTTTGACAAATACGGCTAATGAAATCTTACGTGGGGTATAAAACAATTAGTGTGTCGAATATTTAACATTTAATGAATATGTACAAACAATGAATATATTGATGATTTGAACAAACAGAAAACCGCAAATATGTCACGGCGAAGATGTTTAAGATGAATTTTTATTTTCTAATTATTAAGTTGTTTATATCCTTTGTTTACTTCTTTTTTTACAACATTTTCACAACATAAATTTCATAAATTATGTCCCAAAAAAGTATTTTGCCACTGGAAGTTTACCAAACACAAATTAATCCTTTCATATTGGGCAGTGCAATGCAATATGCAAATGAATAATACACAGGCAACGAAGGACGCTCGTGTTAGCCAAAATATGTAAGAATGCTTTGATGCAATAAGTAATTGGAGATCTATGTTAAACCTGTACAAAACTTAAATCTCTAGATGCTCCCACCTTAAACTCTTTATTCAGTAATTGATTTCCAACAAAAGTTAAAAGTTAAAACTATATGCGTTAATAACATGAATAAGACCAGTTACAGTTACCGTCTTTTAAATTTCTCAATTTATCTGACGGGACCAGTCCTTTAAAAGAGATGTTTTTTTCGTAATCAAAACAATTTCAAAGTCCCAAAAATAATAAGTCAATGTTGCGCGTCTTTATTAAAAAAATAATCCAGATATGAATTGATTTAGTCATCCTTTTTGAGGTGATATGACCACACACAACATCTGTATGGTTTTATATATTCTAAATTGATACGGAAGCTGGTTTCTGCAACTAGAAAACCAAATATTTTTAATAGATATATGTTTTGTAGGTTTTTGAATGAAAAAAATCTTAAATCAGTTGCATGCGAAAATTACTTCTTCCAAAAATATACCAGCTAAAATGATGATTTACATTAAAAAGTTGGTAAAAATTATGAAAATAGTCAAATAACATCATTCTTGAGGGATACAGACCTATGAGGGGTACCTATACAAACTTTGCGAAAAGTTGCAAGGATCAAGCTTCAACATAAATACATTGTAGTTTTTGAGGAAAAAAAATATGTAGTCTTGTCTTCTATCCCTCTGGTCCTTAACTTTAACACTGATTACAACACTCCTTGATCACATAAAAGGTACATGTAATGGCAAAGTAATTGCATGTTACCCCACTTGGTCCTCATAAAGGATGTATATAATAATGCATTTAATCAATTATCCATGTAACCGTATACTTTTTTAGAATTAGTAATCGTTTACTTGCAATACATTTTATACCACACCACCATAGTTGTGTATGTACCATAATGATACACGAATAAAAAAATATGTGCTATAGTTTACCACAAAAACACACACACAACAAATCCCAAAAAGAATCAAATTGTAGATCTTTGACAATAGACAAGGACGAAACAGACCACAGTCTTCACATGTTGTTGAATTTCAAGGACTAAACGCAATTTAGTCAGAAAGCGAACGTTTAAAAATCCCATAGATACACACATGAGAATTCTGTCTTTTAACAAGCACATTAAAATGCGATGTGAATACACGAAAGGAGTTTAACACAGAAATACCAAGAAGAACTATATGTTGTAAACATATAAAAATCAAAGATCAGACTATGTTTGTGTAGGACGTTTTGTTAGTTCATTCTATAACCAAAGATCAGTGCATACTATTATGATATTGTAATTATCATATTTATTTATCTTGGCCTAATTTGTTTTGTGTGGCCTTATAACATGTATACTATTTTTACATAATACTTATAGTTGTTTACAACTGTGCAGTTTAGAAATCACTGGAACATTCATAGATACTGATGGAATGATTATAACTTTCTATTTGACTTACATAATAATTCTGGAATGATCATAATCTACGATGTGTAATTTAAACTTCTACATTGTTTTAAAAATTTCCGTTCTACATTTTTCTAGGATGTTCCGTTCTACAGTGCTCTAGGAGTTTCCATGACAACTATATATTCAAATACCGAAATTACAGATTAGACATTAACATTCTTGTATTCGCAGAAGTTTTCTCAGTTGGATTGACATTTTTATTTACGTTAACTACAACATACTAGATTGTGACTTATTGGAGCTTCTCAGACTTTATTGTTAGAAGGTGTGTTGCCTTTGTCCAAGTAAACTTCTGTTTCCGTTTTGTTACAAGGTATGGAGCTAGATTGTATAGATGTTCCCCTCCATCGTATTTATCTGAAGTCAGATTTAATTACTGGACCAGTTGTTTTGGGTGTTCGTCCTAATCTCCCTGCTGAGGGTGTTTCATTATTGCTAGGAAATGATCTAGCTAGGAACAAAGTGGTTGCTGAACCAATTGTTTACAGTGAACCGGTGGTGGATGTTAAATCACCCAAAGATTATGCTGAATTGTATCCAGCTTGTGTTGTTACTACGGCGATGGCAAGAAAACAACAAAATGAGGATTTTCAAGAAGACCAGTTTGATTTCAAGGACCTTTCTGACACTTTCCTTGCCGACATTGACGGTTCCTGTGGCCCAGAAAAGACCATCGATAAGACCACCTATTACTAACAAGCATGTAATTATGCCATAGTCAGACGTGAACAACCATTCAGTAGACAGAAGAAAATTTGTGGAAGAACAAAATAAAGACCTTGAGGTTCTTCAGCTCCGCAAAAGGGCTCAACCACAGGAGGAAGCAGACAAAGTGGCCGAATGCAATTACCATCAAGATGGCATTTTAATGAGGAAGCGGAGGCCCCCTGATGTTATCCCAGAGGAGGAATAGAGAGTGGTATACAAAGTGGTGGTGCCTCAAGTCAATAGGCAAGACATTATTGGTCTTGCCCATGACACCCCCTTGGCTGGACACTCAGGTATAAGGAAGACTTGCCTTAAGATCTTGCAGCATTTCTACTGGCCCAGACTTAGAAATGATGTCACAGAATACTGCAAATCATGCCATATATGCCAGGTTGTTGGTAAGCCTAACCAGAATATACCACCAGCACCACTTCTGCCAATTTCAGCCTTTGAAGAACCTTTCAGCAGAGTACTAATTGACTGCGTTGGACCTTTACCAAAGACCGAGACTGGAAATGCGTATTTATTGACGACCATGTGTACATCCACTTACTTTCCTGAGGCTATTCCGCTAAGGAATATCAAGACACTAACTATTGTCAAGGCTCTTATCAAATTGTTCACGTTAGTAGGACTTCCTATGTCTATAAAGTCCGACCAGGGTTCAAATTTCATGTCAGGTTTATTTCAGCAAGTCGTTTACCAGTTAGGGATTGCTCAGTATAGGTCAAGTGCTTATCATCTAGAATCTCAAGGTGCCTTAGAACGTTTTCATCAAACATTGAAGAACATGATTAGAACTTTTTGTCTTCAATTTGACAGAGAGTGGGATGATGGTTTTTATTTTTTGCTGTCCGAGAGTCTGTTTAAGAATCCCTTGGTTTTAGTCCCTTTGAGTTGGTATATGGTCATACTGTAAGGGGACCTTTGAAATTGGTTAAGGAAAAATGGCTTACTAAACACACTGACTTGAATCTTCTAAACTATGTATCTAGATTTAAAGAAAAATTGTATACTGCTTGTCAAATTGCACAGAACAATTTAAAAAATATTCAGAATAAGATAAAAATATGGTATGATCAAGATGCCAGGGACAGAGTTTTTGAGCCTGGTGATAAGGTACTTGTATTTTTGCCAGTCCCTGAACATCCTTTACAAGCTAAATATTGTAGTCCTTATACCATATAGAGTATAATATTATTGAGCCAAGTCACAGTGAATGGAGCTATCCTTGTCTCCTTGTGCCCAAACCAGATAAAACCTTTCGTTTCGTAACTGATTGCAGAAAAGTAAATTCAGTTTCAAAATCTGATTCCTATCCGATTCCAAGGATAGACGACTGCATTGATGATATTGGGCTAGCACAATTTGTGAGCAAATTTGATTTATTGATAGGTTACTGGCAGGTACCTTTGACATAGAGAGCTCGTGAAATATCAGCTTTTGTCA